CGATGGGTGTCTGGGCTCTGGGGGGGAGGTGGTGCGGGTATCTGGGCCGGGTGGGGGCCTGCAACTGGGCTCTGAGAGGAGAAGAGAGAGTGTTGGTGTTTTGGCTGCGTTTTGGGAGTTAGGGGGTTTGGGTGTATTGACTTGGGGGGGTGCACAGCTTGGCTCTGGGGGAAAAGGGTGTGTGAGTGGTGGGCTCTGGGGGAGATGGGGACAGAGAAGCAAGACCTGTATTGTCACAGAGGTTTCTTTAACTCTTCACTCCTGGGGGAAATTTTGTGTGTGTCTGTATTGTTACAGACATATTTGCTGACAGGCACTTTGAAATAAATTACCAAAATAATTGAAACTGGCATGATTATGTAGTGTTATTTTACAAATAAAATCTGCAGAATTTTAAAATAGTCTGCAGAGAATTTTTATTTTTTGGCGCAGAATTCCCCCAGGAGCATTGTGTTTAGGATGTAATGCATTAGGCCCCTGAAGAGTTCGAGGCCAAATTAAATTTCAGTATAATTTAGAGAGAGAGAGAGACAAATGATAGAGCAGGTGAGAAGTTATTTACAAGAAATTATTTATATTTCATTAGTACTAAAGGTCCCAACCAAGACTGAAGTCCCATTGTAATGGACAAATACACACACACACACACACACTTCTTTTTCTGTTTCAAGTTTACCTTAATTTTCCAAGTTAAACTGGTATAAAAATGGTACTTCGTGCATGGAGGCACTTATGACTACAGAGATACTTTCAGGAGCAAATATGTAACCTCATGAAGATACTTACAGTTCTGATTTGCATCTGGCTGGAGCTCTGCAAAAAGTGCCTCTTTTTTCTGTAACTCATCATGGACTTCATTCAGTTTTTCCCTATGGATTCAGAGATTTGATCCAGAGGTTAGGCTAATGCTAGCATTTCACACTCTAGTAACTGAAAACTTGTGTGAACATTCTTCAGTGTGATGATAAATATATTGAAAAATGATACGGGTAAAAGATTTGTTGTTGTTGTTGAAACACCAACCTATTCTCTCAACTGAAATTTTTTAAAAAAAAGTGAAAAAAGCACCACCTCTAAGCTGAGAGACTTGGAAAAAGGCATATTTAACTCCAAACTTAAACAAGAGCACACTATCCTCCCCTGGACAGGGACTACATAGGCTGAAAGGAATTCTTTCAGGAAGCTGAGGGGGCTGTGGCAGTGACCAAAAAAAAAAAAAAAAAAAAAAAGTAATGGTTATAAACGAAAAACTGCCCTAGAAAAGTTTCAGAGTAGCAGCCGTGTTAGTCTGTATTCGCAAAAAGAAAAGGAGTACTTGTGGCACCTTAGAGACTAACAAAAACAAAGACTAACTAAAAAAGACTCACGAAAGCTTATGCTCAAATAAACGTGTTAGTCTCTAAGGAGCCACAAGTCCTCCTGTTCTTTGTGTCCTAGAAAAAAGGAGACTACCCTGTACGTACAGCAGCTGTTGTACTTTGAAACGCATTGTGCACATATACATTCCACTGTAGGCGCTTGGCCCAATGCACTCAAGTTAGAGACTTTTTGCTAGCAGTAACAGCAGGCAGCGCATGCAACCCTGTCATCCTCATGCCCGAAGCAGAGGATATAAAAGGGGCGTACGGCCATGGTGTAATGGGGTGTGCTCCCCACACCAGCGCAGCACGAGCTGAATTAGGTGAGGTGGGCCCAATCAGGTAATTGGTCTGTAAGCAGGGGAGCTTTAGGCTGGAGGCAGCTATTAAGGATAGGCTCACCTGTGCAGGAATGGGGGAAGAGGCTATATAAAGCCAGGTAGCTGCCCGCAGACGGGGGCAGCTGCTGCTGGGAAAGGCAGCAGGGAAGTAATCTGCAGTTGCTCACTGGAATGGAGGAAATTGGTGACTGGCAAACCCAGAGACGGAGGAAGCTAGATATGTAGGAGGAAGCCCAGGGACAGGGACCAAGGCTGCCTGTTATAGGGTCCCTGGGCTGGAACCCAGTATAGAGGGCAGGCCTGGGTTCCCCTACCAGCCACCACTGGGAAGTGGCAAGGGCCTTGGAGATGTTAGCCAGACAGTAGGTCTGGAAAGACTGAGTTCACCAGAAGGGGAGGACCTTAGTGGTCTGGCTGGAGGGCCAACCCACAAAGAGGAGGCTGCAGATCTCCTTCATTCACAGTGCTGAGCTCTCACTTGTCTTATGTGATCTCAGACCATGCCTTGCAAAAGAGAGATGGAGGCACTTTCCAAAAGGAGGTTTTGGCTCTACGAGTGGAGATGTGGTTGGTGTGCTGTCCTTGATCAAAATATCAAAATGACTGTTTCAATGTGGAAGTCTGGTAAGAAGAGCCTGCTGGTGACGAAGCTGACGTCCAACATCTAGGTGGTTTAGATCTCCTCTCTGAAGGATCCTGAAGTCTGAGCAGGTAGAATGAAGATCGATAGTGTGTCGGAGGTTTGATCTGTTTTCTTTTTGTTGCTGGAATATAAACTCCTAGAGAAGAGAGAGTCGCTTGGGAGTCTGTAAGGTGTACATGGCATTACCAGTCATTTGAGAAAACAATTTCAAATAATCAAATGGAAGGTCTTTGATTGTGTTATACAGCTCTCCAGGGCCTGTAACCAAGACTGCCTCATTGAACTGGCTGCAGCCATTGAGTACAAAGTGGTGTCTGATGCATCAATGGTCGCTTGGAGATAGGCGCTTCTGAGATTACTGCCAGAAACTGGACCTCGTATTCTTCAGGCAATTTGCAAATTTTACAAATACTAACCAAACAACACATATATATGAACAACAATGTTTGAGAATTTGGCACACTTATTTGAAGGTTTGTGGTGGTATAAGTCGCTTACATTCTTTGTCCTTTGGGGTAGGTCTTCTTTGATTACTGCCGTGAGTCTGGCACAGAATGGGTGGTGGTGGGGGGAATCAAATTCCTGCTGGGGAACTTGACAACCCCTGTCCATGTGTTTGGCAGTGGGTGGAACAGTAGCTGGGGTTTGCCAAAGGGTTTCAGCAGGATTGAATAGAGCTTCATTAATGGGAAGGACAACCCTTCCCAGGGCTGGAGCTTGTAAAATACCTAAAAACTTGTACGGATTCTCATGCACAACTTTGACTACTCCTAACAACTGTACACCTTGTGAGGTCTTGAAAGACTCTGAAGTGTCCAGACAATGGTGAAGATGACTCAAGAGTTATGCACTCATCAGGGAAAGAAGAATGCGAAAAGAAAGATGTGTGGGTTCATCCCTAGATTTCTCTTCCTCTGCCAATTCCAAAATTGGATATGGCTGACAAACTGGAAGATGTTCCCTGATAGACAAGGCACTGGAAAAGGTCACTTGCTCCTAGACTGCATAGCAGATGGTGATCTGGAAGCTCTGGGAGCAGTTCAAGGGAGTCACTAGGGCCAGGACAGGTGGCCATGGAATGCAGAATGATGTACAGTGAAAATAAATTGTGCTGTTCATGCCAATGTAGTTAAAGCTACTGTAATCAGTACCAGATGGTGAGGAAAAGGAGAGTCAAGAAAAGGGAGGCACATGAGGTCTTTTGCTGCAGGGACACAGACAGTACACATATTGGAGATAAGTACTCCTCAGATAACACAAGTGGCACTGAAACCAATAGTACCAGTGCTGTAGATATGGCTGACAGAGAAGGTGAAACCACCAGTCTCGATGGCCCCGCTGGAGCCGGACTTGATGGTGCTGCCTCAGACAGTACTGGTGAATGTTGGTGTTTACGGCCAGACCTTGACTCCCATACTGGAGGAATTTTTAGCAGATCTGTCCCACTTTTGGGATGAAGAATGCAACCTGGACTGTGTCCACCTCAGAAAATGAAGACTGTTTTGAAGGCTTTGAGAAGGCCCCAGGAGCAGAACATCATTTTTCTCCTGATTTTGGCTTTGAGACTGAAGCAGCCAGAAAGGCACTAAAGAACTCTCCGTCTTCTCATGGCTGCGGTCAGGCGCTGAAGGAGGACACTTTTCAAATAAATGTCCCTTAAGACAGAAGTCCCTTTGCTTCTTTGTCCCCACAGGAAAGGAGGTATAAATGGAACATCTGTCCTTAACATGTCCCTGGCCTAAACGAATTAGGCAACTTGTGCGGCTATCATTTACAGGGATCATGGCCCTGCAAGTAACACAGTTTAAACCCTAGGGATCTCTGCATGATGAAAGACACCCAGCACCAATGAATAAGTTACTAAACTACTCTCATAACTAATACTATGCTCTAATAGTAACTAATGCTAAAATCTCTAAAAACTATGTACACAAAGGTTTTTTTTAGTAAAGTTAGTTGAACAAACTGAAGCTTAAGAGCAATGGGAAGCTCCAACTCTTGCCGTGAGTGGTAAGAAAGAACTGAGGCAGAGGTAGTGGTCATGCCCCTTTTGCCCTCAGCTCTGTGTGCAAGGAGGTGTGGCAGGGGTGCATGCACTACCTAGCACTGCCAGCAAGAGTCTCAGACTCAAATGCATTGGGCACAAATGGACCTACAATGGACTGTATACATGCACAATCACTCAAAGGACAACAATCACAATCGTTAAAGAGCCTGTGGTGCTGGGAAGGCAGGGAAGTTCGGTGCAAGCTTAAACAAAGGGGTAGAGCACTAAGCCTTCAGATCTGTTAGTGAGGATATGTCCAGTCCCAGATGCTGCTTTTCGGAAAGTTGAAAAACTTACATATGCGTGTTGCAAAAGTGGGGGATCAATATGGACAACACTTGGAGGAGGAGAATATGTATATTCACCCTGTTTGTCTAATACACTGTTTTCAAGGGATCTCAGAAGAGTGACTTGCAAAAACAAGGCTCATATCACTGTGAAGCACAGCTGCCAAGTTTTGTGCAGATACTGTTTGCAAAGTTAGTGAGCTAATTTGTATATAATCATAAACTTGAGCTTGTGGTCAACACACGCTGCCCCAAGCAATGGTAGAGGTAGGACATCGAGCTACGCAAAACCTGGCAGCTTTGGCTGGCATAGGTGAGTGCTGGGGTTTCTAAGAAGTAGGGGGCTGCAGGGTATTGGGGCACAGAAGGCTGCTGTTCAGGAAGTGGGGCAAACTCGGTGCAGTTGGCTGCAGGAACACAGGAGGGAGAAGGAAGTTAGAGGGAGCCTTGTGGCCTCTCTGCGGGGATGAGAACCACCGCCCATCCTGGGAACTCCTTCCTGACTGAAATCCAGCAAGGTGAGGAAGGAGAGAAAAGATGCCTGCCTGAATGACTTCTCAACATTGCAGCAATGGCCCTGGGGACCAAAAGGCAGAGTTTCTGCAGCTCAACCAGACTGAGCTGTGACTATCACGCGATGTGTGTGACACCTGGGAGCCCTGATGAGGTGACTGAAGGATAGAGCGGCAGTTTTAACTGAATTTCCCATGTTTGGAAATAAGGTTGACCTTTAATAGTGCTTATATGTATTTGCTGCTTATATGAAAAACTTAAAGTAGAGGTCTGTTTCTTTTTTGGCTGTATATAAATATCAGTTAGCTTTACTTACATATGTGCTTCTAACTTCTGCTTCAGCTTGCTGGACTATAAAGGTAAGAGAATTAAAAACGAATTTAGACATTGTCCAGAAAATTTAAAATATAACTCTCGGTGCATAACCAAATGGGAGCTCCAACTTTTACAAACAGTTTTTTTAAAAAGTTTCACTTTTCAGATACACTTCTGAATTGTTCAGTAAAACACACATGGTAAAAGTAATAGTCTCTGCGCATTTAGATAATTTTATTCATATTCTTTGCATCACTCTGACATTCTGGATTTTATAGTATACTTCTTGCTATAGAATCATTTGGCAGCAAAAGTGGAAAGGCTGAGACAATTCAAAGAAGGAAGCAGAAAGAAGGAAACAAGAAAACATGATTACAAAAGCAGACTCCAAATATTTTTCATTCATTAACTTTACGTCTCAATTTAGACCATTAGAACATTTAGAAATTTAAAATAGGTTTATTTTAAAATACACAGTACGTATTGTAATATTTTCCTACATTTGAAATAATTCCCTCTGAAATTGTTAGAACAAAAATAAAAAAAATTGAAAAAAACTAACCTGCTCCCCCTACCAAAAAAACAGTGCAAATGAAGCCAATTCATAAGATTTCCATCTAAATTTTGACCTTAGTGTTATTTAGTTATTAGCGTTATTATAGTGTTATTTAGTTTAACTAATAACTAAAAACACTAACCTTCACTGTTTACTAGGAAGAATTGTAGCCTCAACTGGCATGACTTTCAGCTTCAAAATAGCAAGGCTAATGTGATTAACTTAAGGAAAAAAAAACAGTAGTCAATTATATAATTTGCCAGGGTGATTTATAGGCAGTATCAGTCTTCCCAGATTCTGCAACTAATAGGATCTGGGGACAGAACTACTTGCCACTTCCACAGAAAGAAAATCTTCCCAATCCCAAAGGGAATTAAAATTCAGAGGTAATTCCGTGAGTACAAATTCAGAATCTGAAATCACATTATGAGGTTTATTCTGGTATAGGGAATTCCTTAGAATGATTAAAGCCTGTCACTCAAACTCAAAATAAAAAAATGTAAAAACTACACACCCCACAATTGCTGTGCTTTTTGTCATAAGTTTCACTAGTTTTTCAAGACTTATTGATCCTAACCTGAATTTACCATTCCTGAAAGCAAGGATTCAAGTAAATAAAATATAAACGTTTCAAAAATTGTAATCTTAAATAATTACAATTATATCACACAAACACGTTGTTGAAGGGGATTGGCAGACAGAAGACATTATAAAACACGTCTTACAGTGAAAAACTCTAAGGAGGTCAATCTGTTTTGTGATCAAATCTTCCCGCAACCTTCTCTTTGTTCAGTCTACCAAAACCAACATAGCAAACATAAGTTTTATAACAAAAAGATCTTCAGCCTAGCAGACAAAAGGTATAACAAGATCCAATGGCTTGAAGCTGATGCTAGACAAACTCAGACTAGAAATAAGGCACAATTTTTAACTGTGAGGGTAATTAACCATTGGAACAACTTACCAAGGGTCATGGTAGGCTGAGAGTCTGTCATGGATTCCGGCTCGGGCAGCCCTTGGGCCAGCAGCAGCAGTTTGGGTGTGTGAGAGGGGGTTCAAGATAGGGGCAGGGGGGGCGCTTACCTCGGGGTGGGGGGCTTCCACTGGCATGGCCCTGCAGCTCCCAAGCAGTGGAGGGGCTGTGGAGGGCTCCACGCAGCATGCTGCCTGCAGGCCCCACCCCCGCAGTTCCCATTGGCTGCGGTTCCCGGCCAATGGGAGCTGCGGCAGCTGATGCTTGTCCCCCTCCGCTGCCTAGAAGCTGCAGGGACACTGAGCCAGTTAGGGAGCCCCTGTCAGTTCCTCCCCCACAGCACCATCCCCCCGCACCAGTGGGGGTCCTGGGTCACCTGCCCCAGCACCCGGGGTGCCCCTGGACCACTTCCGCCCCCAGACTGCTCACAGTCCCCGCCCAAGTTTAAGTCACAGGTATTTTTAGTAAAAGTCATGGACCCCAGGTCACGGGCCGTGAATTTTTGTTTACTGCCCGTGACCTGTCCATGACTTTTACTACAAATATCCGTGACTAAAACATAGCCTTAGTCACGGTGGATTCTCCATCACCGGAAATTTTTAAATCAAGATTGGATTTTTTTCTAAAAGACACGCTCTATTTCAAGCGGGAATTAATTCATATAAAGTTCTATGGCCTGTGTTAAACAGGAAGTCAGACTACAATGGTCCTTTCTTTCCTTATGAATGAGCCCTCAGGGCACATCCCTCTCATAAGAGGGAGACCCCTAAGGATCCATCATGGCAGGAGCAGAATGGCAGGCAGTACAGCTACTATCCCTGTGGTCACATTGTGAGAGTTAACTTGCAACACTTTGCTATCTGAGCGAGAAAAAGTTACTCAGAAGAGTAAGACTGGCTCCCACAGCTCTTCAGCTTTTCAACCTATGGAGCAAGAATTCCAAAGGGTCTTCAGCAGAGTTGGGGAAATGTAGGGAGCACACTACAGACAACGCTTCCTTCTTCTGCATTCTGATACTTGGATTCTGGCTCTATTCTCTTCTCACAGAGTGGAGGGAAGCATTTAAGTGTTAGGGTTAGAGAAGTTGCATTTCATTTTTAAGTTGCTTAAAAGTTTTTGAGCTGGGACTCTGCTGCTCTGAGGGGACTCATGGCTCCCCAGTTTGGAGAGACTGAGAATTTCCCTGTGTCTGGATGCTGCTGAACTATTCCTGTCAAGTTTGGCTTGCTCTAGACCTTCGACAGACTGATCAGACAGGAGAATTTTATTCTCCCTGCTGCAAATTACTATCTCTTAGGCTAATAACCCCACCAAGCCACATCCTTGTTGTTGTTATAATAATTATCAGCACCAGCAAGACTGAAAAGGAGACGGGGCACCATTTTGATTACGTTTAAAGAAAGTCTGACACTATCTCACAAGAATTTTGAGACAATTGGTGAGAGGTCTCCACCTTCAAGAAGTTTGAGAACCTCTAGTTTTTACTTACTCCTTCTGTCTTGGATCCTTGCTCCTGCAAAGTCTTCTGGAGATCCTCAATCTGTTGCTGCAGCTCTCCAATACGCTCATTGCTTAGCCTGTTACAAGGTAAAAGAACTCAGTTACTCATCTGTCTTCTAGTAATCAGGATATGTAGAGTGAAGTTATTCCCCTACACATTTGGGTTATAATTCTTCAGTAGGGTTACACAAAATGCAAGTGTCTGAAGTCAATATATATTTTGTTTGTGTATAAGACCTAATTATAGTTGCTGCAGGCAGGTGCTTGGAACATTTACTGGACACTTAGTAGCCCACAGGCTACAACTTACTTTTTTGGGGGGTGGGGGTGGGGGGGGAAGGGCTGTGTAGGTAGTGGAGGAGAGTGCCTACCTGGAGAGAAGGGAAGTGTCTGCGGTACCTGAGAAAGTGCTGGGATTCCTGCCAGAGTGCTGCCCTTAGACTCTATTTCAGGGCTTCATCTTCAGTATCTGCTTTTGGTTAAAGGAGTCTGACAAATCTGAAGTCCCTCCTCCCAACCCTAACCCCTTCTGGCTGTAGGACAAGGGAAGTTACTTGCTCTTTTGCTACTACCTTGAGCACCCTGTCCCATACCACAAAGCCTCCTGGCTTCAAACAACGGGGAGGGTCTCTACTACTTTCTCTCTCCCATCTCCTTCTGGCTGTTACATAGGGTGTCTACTAATCTAGCCCCTCACAGCCGCTACTGCCTCCAATGCTGGTCTGTATTTGGAGCTTAATCAAAGCAGCAGCAGTGAACTGGACATGCTTCTTGTCCAGGTAACTGGTGCCCTCCGCGTTCTGAACAACAAGAATGAAAACTAATGAGATTGTTGATCTTTAAAAACATAAGGGCTAGTATTTTTTTTTTATGAAGACTTAGGGCATGGCTACACTTGCACATGTAGAGCGCTGTGAGTTAAACCCGCCTTCGTAGAGCGCAGTAGGGAAAGCACTGCAGTCTGTCCACACTGACAGCTGACAGCGCACTGGCGTAGCCACATTTGTGGCACTTGCAGCGGCATTGGGAGTGGTGCATTATGGGCAGCTATCCCAGCATGCAAGTGACTGCAACGTGCTTTTCAAATGGGGGTGGGGTGGGGTGGAGTGTGACAGGGAGTGTGTTGTGTGTATGGGGGGGAAGAGAGTGGGTTTTTGGGGTGCTGACAGTGTGGCAGCATCCTGTCTTGTAAGGTCAGACACCCCCCCCCCAACTCACTCAAAGCAAACAGTAAATTTTTGCTTTTTCTTGGAGCTGATAAGCAGTTGGCTTCTCTGAAATGGAGCTTTCAACAGGCATTTCCGCATTTCTGCAGCCCATTTCACAAAGACAAGAGTGGTCACTTGACTTAAGGGGATTACGGGACGTTTCCGGAGGTCAATCAGAGCGCAGTAATGCAACACCTCGTCCACACTGGCGCCGCGGCGCTCCAGTGGGGCGCAGCAAATGTTATTCCACTCGCCGAGGTGGAGTACCAGCAGCGCTGTAGCCGTGGAGTCAGATCGCTCTACGTGCCTTGGCAGTGTGGACGGGGAGTGAGCTAGGGTGCTCGGGGCTGCATTATTGCGCTGTAACTCGCAAGTGTAGCCAAGCCCTTAGACTTCAGATGTTGATGGCACTGGTCTCCCAGCTGAGCACGGAAAGCTTCCTACTTGGAAGTGGTGGGTAGAAGATTGCATTTTTTCCTTCCTGCTGCAGATGATTTATCTGATACTAAAATATTAAGTATTTGGATACTTTATTGGGGAATCTAGTAAGATTGTATGAGCTGATGTATTTTGTTTTGAAGAAACCTTAGCTTTTGGGCTGAGATAATGCAAATAAAAAGTTTTAATTCTATTTAAAAAAAAACACCTTTGCACATGTACTGGAATGAAGAAAGGGGATAAGACTGGAACATTTTTAAGTGGCCTATATGTAGTCTCCTGTTTGGAGATATCACAAGCATATTCTTAGGTTTTCCGCAAAAGTCTTTGCAGTACACTTAAAATTTTTAGCAATTTAAACTATTCCTAAATTGTTATAGCCTAAGATGAACTGCATTCAGCATTCCTTAACCAGTGGAGAAATTCACCCAGTGTCACAACTCTGGCTCCCCAGCCCAAAGGTCTACATTTTGAGCAATGTAAAACTATAGTGACCGACTTTCTTCACCCACTCTAGGACTATCAAGAATCACCCAGAGATGAGTCCTAAAGAATATCCTCATCAAAGCATGGAGCAGCCACATCTGGCCTGCTGACGTCTTTTCTGCAGGTTTACACTTCCTATGTTCTTTGCATCTTCCTTACCCCTTCCTCTTTGTCATGACTGCATCAATGCTTCCATTAGCCAAAGGACAGGACAAGTGGTTACCTTCAACTAGTGTTGGATCAGCAAGGCAAGTCACACTGCCTCCCTTCTAAGGTTGCAGCCCTGAGATTATTCTCTGCAGTGCGATTAGCTGCTGTTTTCTCTGACTGGTGCCTACTCCAAACTGTTCTCAGATTTTTAAAAGAAGATTAAAAAAAAAGAAAGCAAATCACCTTTTTTCTGTTTCCAGTTCATTCATCATCCGATGCTTTTGCTCTAGTTGTTCCTGGAGTTCTACAATACGTTCATTTTCTGAACCCTCTTGTTGCAAGAGAAGCATCTTGTTTTCATGCTGCAGTCGAATAAACATTTCTCTATGGGTCAAAAACAAGAAGTCTCCATTCTGTGAAGAGTTTATATAAATAATTCTTGACTATCTAAAAAGAAAGTAATTTTGCAGAAGAGGTGGCATTCCAGTTCACTAAAATGCCGGTGTACTGAATGTTCTTCAGTAAAAACAAGTGGCATAGTTTTCTGTTAGTTTCAGTAAAATACAGAAAGCAGTAGATTTCCTCACAAAGAGAATACACACCAAACCAAATATGCTTATTTTAACTGGAGATAATTGACATAAAACTAACAAAAATCAATTTATTTGGATGTGATTAATATACTTTTGTTAAAAGAATATTATTAATATTGCAAAATCAAGCATTCAAAAGTTAGGAAAATGTCAGAATTAAGATTGCCTGTGAAACCTTAACTTAGCCCCCTAATGTATATCCATTATAAGGCAGTCTACTTACACGATCACATACTATTTATACCCTGTATCATTCTGTTTGTAAAAACAACAGCAGAAATTTCATCAGGTGGTGTCATACTGACACCTTCATAGATCATCAGCAAAGTTGGAACTTCTGCAACACTCACACCTCTTCCACTTGAGCTAACAGAGTAACTGATAGAAATACTCATCCCTTACATGGGCTGGAGGGGGTTGAGACATTCTTTGTCAGAGAGTTTCTCAGCTATTTGCTGATAGCAAAGGCATGATAATTCTCAGGAATCTTGAGTTTCATTCCAGGCTTGGAAGGGAGTGTTCTCTAGTGGGAAGACTTCTGCCAGTTTCCCCAAAACTTGACCCCTTCTGCTACACCCCTTCTAAACTGTCCCAGTCCTGTCTCTTCCCCACCCTTGCCTTCTTATCCCAGTCTTATCCCAGAAGAAAACACATTTACTGTAGATTTATTAAGACATATAACACCACATTATTCAGGGCTGAACCTGCATTTTGCAAGTCTTCTGTGATTGCCTATCCTTGATTCTGCCAGACTTTCCATATAACCATAGCAAGTTCTCAACCACTCCGCTTCAGTTTCCTCATCTACAAAATGAGGATACCTTCCTACCTTATACAGCGTGTTGCAAGGTTTAATTTAATGTCTATAAAGCATTTTACTAGTGGCTTCCCTATAAGAACATCAAACTTCTAGGTTTTTTTTAATTGAAAAGTAGTAAATTGCCCAACAAGCTGTTTGAGACACTGAACTTTAGCAAGGGAAGGGTATTGCTCAAGGTGAGCTCTTTCCTTACCTGTATTCCACTGGTAGAATTTCAGCAGCAAGATTCTCATGACTTTTTACAGCAGATGCATCTGAAAAGGCACGAAAATTTGACAAATTCACTTCCAGATAACATACCAATCTATTTTAAAAAAACATCAAGGAAGTACCTGCTTGATTCAGGTGATCCTGTTGCATCTGAGAACACCGGAGCTCTTCATTAGTTTCTTTCAGAGCATCCCGCTGCACTATAAGTCTCTAAGAAAAGGTCAAAGCATATTTAAGGTAGAAATAAGACGAAATTGTTTCATGTTGGCACATTCCATCAGGAATGAAAGATCCATCATTTATAACACTATTTTCAGGACATGAGTTAAATGCTGAAGGCTTTTGATAATGTTTATACCAAATGCTGACCTATCAATTTCCAAGTTACAAAGACCAGTATACTAAAGTGACTATATACATAATTTCTAATGCTAAATCTCATCCCTATGGCAGCACTACTGATGCCTAAGAGCACCTGAGAAATTATTCTCAAGATGACCACAGTGAAAAATTCTGGCCAGGCCAGCACACAAAAAATCTGAGAGACTTTCTAGTGAATTTGAGTAAATACTCATGCATAAGACTTACCTCTTTTTCTTTGAATAAAGATTCATGCTTTTCTTCAAGTCGCTTCAATTCAAATGCTAACGTATCAGCTCTTTTGGACTCCTCAGAAAGTCTGTTATGAAGCTCTTGGACCTTGAATGATAATGACATAGGTGTTATATTTAGTGTATGTTCTAAGATGTTATTAATATAATTTTTTTAAACTCTGGCACTTCTGGGTGGGGAAAAAGAGCTGGATTAAGAAGAGGAAGATTATGTTCAAGCAGTTCATTATTCACAGGGTCTCAGAAACCTAATAAAGTAGGTTTCTATGGTTGTTGTAATCTAATCAGAACTAAAATGTCTATGTCTCTGCTGAATACAACCAACACACATGGTTCATCTTGGCCAGCAGCCTTTTTCCCCCTAAATAAAAGGCATATAGGAATTCTGATGACTAGCTTGGAACTTTCAGAAGCAAATTGTTGTGCACTTCCGAAAATGAAAACAAGATATTTTAAAAAAGGATTTTTAAAATCAGTAAGACAGTATGTCATACCTAGAAGATGTCAGCTACACATTAAACAAAACAGGACACCTTGATCACCACTGTACTCATTGAACTGATGAGTTGCACACTGTGCTGTGAACTGCAGGTCAAGAAATGACCTCAGGTAAGCCAGCTGGTGAGAGTTTGGAAGGGAAAAGGAGAGAGAGTATATTGCAGAGCTGAAAGTTTCCCTATGAACAGTCTTGACACCAGCCCCAACAATCGTTAGATCAAGCAGCTCAATCTTTTTCAGTCAACTGTAATTATTTTTAATAAAAATACACCTGAGAATAGTTAAGATGTTGAATACAGTTGTTGCCTTACCTGCCTTTTGTATGTTTCCAGCTGAGCACGTGCCGCATTTGCCTTCTTTAGCTCTTCCTCTAGGCTGACTGTATTATGCATATACATCATGTTGGTGTCTTGCAGAGACTTTACCTGTCGGCGGAAGTCATTCAAGTCCTCCAGTTTTTTACGATACACTTCAACTGTTGACTCCAGTTTACTTGCCTTATCTGCAAAAGTTCTACAAGAATAAATATGAATTATGGAAACAGTAAGATGTATTTTTCACACAAACAAACTGCAACCAAGCAAATCAGTAAGTTCTGCTCTCATCTGCAAGCATGGCTCCAATTAGCTTAGACAGGGAGATGCATGCATATATCCAAGGTTAGAGTTATGTCCTCTGTGTAAAACTAATGCATTATTTTAATTCTTTTAAGCTGTAGGGTTCATATAGACTCAAACACAAAGTTTAGTTTTAAAAGTAGTCATTGTGGAGATGCAGGCCCACAAAACCATGTGTTGACATATGCCTTGTAGACGGAGACAGTATATTAAATGGCCCCACAGATTCATGATGGTGTTGGAGTTAATACAAGTGAACTATGCTCTAGGCTACAGATTGATCTTGCAGCTGAATAAGCCTGCAAAATACTGGTGCCTCTATCTAGCAGAAATAGGTACAAAGCTACAGTACATTACTACTACAGATATGTTTTGGAGATCATTATCCTATGGGTATCTTTGCCAGGAGGCGTGAACAAGGAAGACAAATTGATCAGTTCCTTTTAAAAAGGTATATAAGACAGAAAGTGTTCTGTCCAAATAATATCAAGGTATTTTAATACAGAAATGGATCTTCGTTTTACTGGCACAAAAGAATTAACAAACCTTTAAACTAAATATTGAGTCACTTTACTGTCTGGCATCTTACAAAATTAAAAATTAGCATAGGAGTAATTCCAAAATCCAATCTCTTATACTTAACCTGATGCTCTTCTATGAACCTTGATATAGTGTAAAATTGGAATATATTTTATTCTATATTAAATTATCTGCTATAACAATAAAAGAGTGACTTTACATGGTTATATTTCTAGAAATATGATAGCACCATATTTACTTTCTGTACTTTTTAGTAACCAGTTTAGTTTACATATGTTGAACTCAACGCAACACGATGAGTTCTCATCATGCTTGTTGGGTTTTGCCCCTACTGAGTCTTGTAATCCTGAAAATACAATCTAACTAAAATACAGATGCAGATAGTTAAGTTTCATTTTCACTTGGTTTGAGACTTATATTTGGGCAATTAATTTTTTTCTGTATCAGAAAAGGCGGGCCTTTGCCAATAAAAATATCCTGTTGGTAATAAAATCCATTATGATTAGAACATTCTCATTTCCTAGGGTATTTTATGTTTTCTACATCAGGAGGAGAAAGGCTGTATCTTTTAGTCCTGCTTCATGTGGGAGTCTTTTGCAAAATAATGTCGATATGCAGAGTACTTATTGTGCTCATAAACTTACATTTCACCTTCCAATTTTATTTTTCACTCTGGTCCTTTTTTCCATTTAGTTTTAAGTTTGCCTGTGGTAAGACATAAGCTGTGTAATTTTATACAGAAATGTCTATCTTTAAATATGGAGCCTTGGCATTATCTTTCAGAACCTTCAGTCTGAATGGTAGCTATGTCCACTACATACCTAAGAACGTCAATTTCATCTTTTAGGGCCCTGGATTCTTCTGCCAAACAGGTCAACTCATCATTTCTATGTTGCAGCTCAATCAGTTGTTTCTCCAGATCTTCACAGTGAACACGATAATCATCCTTTGCAGCTTCAAGCCTTTTGTAAACAAGAAGCTGTTAAGAAAATATATTTTCCTATCTTTTGTTCATGTAACTAATATGATCCACTTTCCATTGAAACAGTAAAAAATATTCAAAATACATAAGCTTAGCAGACACAGAATAAAAAAAGGTAGTTAAAGCCTGGAAAAAACAACTAACAAAAGTATGGTCACTTGGGCTATTTACTACAAACACACCATATCATATGAACAGATCTGTTAGTTTACTGTGTTAATATTTTACTCAAAGGAGTTTCTGGTTCATTTATAACTGCCATAAAAGAAAGTGTGAATCACTTAGACCCAGACAATGTTGGGGTTTTATTAGTACAAATCACCACATGAAACATTTGGTTTCATGTTCTTATCCTTGGTCCTGCCTTTCTCCCTCCCATTAGAGCCCACAATATTTTAGAAAATCGTGGAAGGAAAAGCATTAATGGTCTCAATGATCATCCAAAATGGAAGAAGTTTAGGGGAAACACTAAACTGTACCTTTAAAAATATAGTTTATATTAATTCAATGAAAGAGAGAAGCTTTTAGAATAGTGAATAGAAAAGTGAACTGAGAAGGAAAATCCTGCGTATTTAGAAGAAACTCCCGTCACATACGACCACAACATTTTGAGAGAGGATTAAATAAAGCTGCAAGTTATTTCGTACCTGAAGTTTTCTTCCTGCAGTTGTTCTAGCTGCAGCTGTGCATGGAAATACTTTTTTGCAACAACAGTATTTGGATCATCAAGAGAGCCATCTAACTGGTCTAATCGATCATTCATGACCTCGTTTTCAGACATCAAACTGTTTTTTTCATCTTGAAGGGCAGCCACCTAGTGCACATAACACAACATCAAGTTTATAGGTCCCATCCAATTGCCAAGAAGAACCCAAAATAATAGATTATAAGATGCCACCAAATAATTTGTTACATAGAAGTTAAACATTTGAAAAATTTAGAAAGTGATTTATAAATACCCTTAAGCACCTAGCTGCTTTAGAGTATGAAAGTTGTCAAGCAAGGAAGTGTGTCTTTTTTGTTTTGTTTTATAAATGAAAACTATAAATACGGGGGGCTACGGATATGTTCAGATTTTATGAAAACAAAAGGAAACAAATATGATTAATTCAAAAAAAACAATGCCTATAGAAACTGAACAGAAACAATAATAGTAGGATGAAGAGTATTTCCAATTTGGCTTGTGTACTATCAATAAAAAGCAGAATGGGACTGGCTAGCACACTAACACTGCACTGCCGTGCATTCAGTCATGGATGGTTGTGCAAAAAGCAGGTCCAAGAGCCATAAGCTAATAAGCAGACACACAAAAAATCCTAGACAGCATCATAGAGGGCATGCATTTTTGCAGTGACGGAACTGGTTTGATTTTGAAAGTGTTCACAGCTAAGCAAACGGGAACACAACATTACACTAAGTTTGTAAGTATATTAAAACAGCCATAAAATGGGCAAGGATTAAATGACGGAACCCTTAAGCTCTTTCTAGTGAAAGATGGTGTGTTAATTTTAATACTTCATCAAACATCAGAGCATATAGCATGTGTTAGTTAACTGGCACTTAAACAGTAGAATGTGCTCTTTGGGTTATGTTTTCCTGAATCATAAAGGAAACCTACCTTTCTTATATTCTTGGAAAATATCAAGGAAGACTGAGACCTTACAAGTGAATTTATTAAGAATTAGTTTAAATGAGAAAGGTCAGCCATTATCATGACTTTCAATACATATGCAGCATACCATGGTGGCAATATTTAATAAGATATAAAGTTAGCATAATAATCTGATGCAATATTAAAATATTTTTTTATTTATCCATGATTATATCACAATTTAAGTGTTTATAATTAAATAGATGTAAAAGAAACCAAAAGCACTCTCCCACCTCTTCACTGAGTACTTACTGGCTTTAAGGTCCTATTCTCTGAATATCTGGTAAGCCAATTTACTGTATATTTGCAAACCTAGAGCAAATCTGTGCCTTAAGAGTCTTTTATTATTCCCTGTACAAGACCTAATCAGTCTTCAGTCATGGAGACAGTACACACTTTTAGAAAGCAGGATGTTTATTAACTGAATGTCTCACTCATTTCCTTCACTCTCATTTCAGGTCCCTCAGAGTCACATTGGCTGTCTCCTACTTCATTTCAACACCATATACATTATGCTGAAACCATGGCGCACCACTGGATGATGAAATGAACAAATACGTATTGTGTAATTTCAAAAATATGGACGCCTATTTTACAAAATATACTTTCCATTAGTACATACTAATATACTTTAGTTACCATATGTACATTCATGCTCAACTATACATACTTTTAACAACTACTCCCGGTCATGACATGCAAAGAGGATAGACCAACCAGATTTGTGTGAACTACCATCAAGTTAACTACTCCAAACAGAAGTCTATAACAGCTGTGTGGTAGTTCTGACTTCTCAAAATGATGCATCATAGGTATCACAGCACAACCAGAAATGGCAATTTGGGACTGAAGCAGAAATGGCTGGCATAAAGTTACAGGCTAAAAATCTTTCCTTAGCTTTGCTATTTGGTAAATTCAGCACAATCATACATTTACAGTGGGTGCAATTACCAGAAATCATTTACCATACCACCTCTGCAAAAGCAAGTTGATCAAGTTTTGAACACTGAGCAAAACACATTTTCAGGGTGAGGCCTCTTATATCAAGTTTCAGAATTACAGACCCCTGAAAGTTTGGTTTTAGAAAGAAAGCTGCAGGTGGAACCTTACATAACAGAAAGAGAATGGGAACACTATCATGCAGGGGAGAAGGATTACCTCACCTCAGCTCGACTTTACTGATTTGTGAGTTGAAGTTAATACCACCATATAGAAAACTGTTAAAATATGCCCCATATTGAAACTCTACAAACAAGTGAGATAAAAAGTTACTTGATTACAGACTTTTTTCATCTGCTTCCTACTGAAAATGGCTTAATTTCACCTTCAGTGAATGCAATCAGTCCATTATAATGAATTGGTTCTTAATATATTTTTAAAAGGGCTAAAGCTATTGTTAGCTGAAAATAAACTATGGAACATTTTTATAATAATTTTTACTATTCATAGTTACATGATTGCAACGACTGCTTACTAACTGCAAGATATCAAGTTATTATGCCAAGAAATCTTTCCTACTATGGGTTAGCAATATATTTTCCAATAGTCACAGGGGAGCTGAGCATGGATTTACATTAAAGGATAATATTTCCAACAATAGCATATATGAAGCATTTCAGAGTGTGGAAGTTTTGTTTCAGTACAAACTGAAAGAACAAAAAATTTATAGGTGAAATTTAACCTCTAAAGACATTGCATTTTGCAACTGTTTAACAGAGCTTCTATTTCTTGATGTCACATATTTGAAAAAGTGTGTGTCTCCTCACCTGCAGGTCTAGTTCTTGACATCTTTGCTTCAGTTCTTCTTTTTCTGCTAGTGCTTCTTGAAGGTGTTCCAGGGCTCTTTTCATCTTAAAAAAAAAAAAAAAAAAAAAAAAAAAGAAGATTTAATGCAAGTTAGATGTATTGAAATTAAGATTATTTTATATGCTCCCTGTCTGTACAAGGAGCGACATGTAAGATAGATATGACAGAGAGAGAGAGAGAGAAAGGCACATCTATACTGCAAAAACAGACAGAAAAAACTGTAGAACCAGGTTCTGAGATTTGCTGCCACAGAAGTGTTTGTTTTCATTTGCTTGCTTTTTTTTTTTTTCTTCTAGTGTAGACGTACTCGAAGTGACTTGCTTGCCTAAGGTCAGAGAGAATCTGCAGCAGGGCAGAGAACTGAACCCGAGACTCCAGCATACAAGACAAGCAACCAGGCTACTGACCATCCTTCCTCGGATAGCAACTGGAAGGTCAATGTCATCATAGGGGAAACATCTGAGCTCTTTCTTGGGGAGTGCTTTTAAATTAATGATAATTATAACTTCAAGAACAGAACTCTGGGTTTGGGATCACATACAACTCAAATATTTTCCAGGATCTCTCTGCAGTATCTGTACTCATCTGCACTTTCTAACCTAAATGGAGGTTGATAGCAGCCTTACTCCTTGCTCTTCCTGTCATATCCTCCCGCAGTCTCTACTCAGGCAACAGAGGATAAGATCAGCCATTTCACGTCTTTTAAAAAAAAGCTAAGTTTATGTGCACTGCTTTACTCAGCCATTCACCTACCTCTTGCACTATGGGAGACAATGAAAGATAAGAGTTAAATTTACTCTAACTTCCTAGGGTAGCAACAGCATGTTGCTCTGCCTTTTGTGAAATACAAGTCTGGGCATTGATTTTGGTAAGCTGGTCTGAAGGAAAAAACCACTGGCTGTATAAAGCAAGAAGCAAGTTAATTTGTATAGATGAAGGACTGAAACGTCTTTCTTTGAAGATGATGGGAGAGGCACCTTTGTGTCTACTCTCTGAATTTTCAAGCATGATGTGAATAAATTATTTTTGAAACTCTTAACATTGCTTTGACTATTATAACGAACATAAAGCAATTACCTGTTGCTCCATTTCACCAGATGTATCATTTGTGACAGAACTCAGTATTTCCTTGCTCATGAGCTAAAAAAAAAAAAAAAAAAAATGCCACATACATTATATCTGTTTGCACTATTTTACTATAGAGCTAGTGGCTTCTGTTATTGAATAAAAACTTGGATTTACCACCTCTCCCCCATTTAACTTCAGTAGTTGTTAGTGGACAGATACAGAAGTTTCCTGCATATCCTTGGGAAACCTTATTGAATTAAGGTTAAGTATCTTTGGGGGTGTCAAAATATAAAGGGAAGGGTAAACACCTTTAAAAGCCCTCCTGGCCAGAGGAAAAACCCTTTCACCTGTAAAGGGTTAAGAAGCTAGGATAACCTCACTGGCACCTGACCAAAATGACCAATGAGGAGACAAGATACTTTCAAAGCTGGAGGGGGGGAGAAACAAAGGTTTGCTCTGTCTGTGTGTTGTTTTTGCCAGGAACAGAAAAGGAATGGAGTCTTAGAACTTAGTAAGTAATCTAGCTAGATATGCATTAGATTCTGGTTTCTTTGAATGGCTGATAAAATAAGCTGTGCTGAATGGAATGGATATTCCTGTTTTTGTGTCTTTTTGTAACTTAAGGTTTTGCCTAGAGGGACTCTCTATGTTTTGAATCTGATTACCCTGTAAGGTATTTACCATCCTGATTTTACAGAGGTGATTTTTTTACTTTTTCTCCAATTAAAATTCTTCTTTTAAGAACCTGATTGCTTTTTCATTGTTCTTAAGATCCGAGGGTTTGGGTCTGTGTTCACCAATGCAAATTGGTGAGGATTTTTATCAAACCTTCCCCAGGAAAGGGGGTGTAGGGTTTGGGGAGGATTTTGGGTGGAAAGATGTTTCCAAGTGGGCTCTTTCCTGGTTATATATTTGTTAGATGCTTGGTGGTGGCAGCAATAAAGTCCAAGGGCAAAAGGTAAAATAGTTTGTACCTTGCGGAAGTTTTAACCTAAGCTGGTAAAAATAAGCTTAGGGGGCTTTTCATGCAGGTCCCCACATCTGTACCCTAGAGTTCAGAGTGGGGAAGGAACCTTGACAGGGGTCCATTGTATTAAATGAATGGTTTATGTATTATTGTGAGCCAGGACTGCACATAACTTTTCTAAGGGGGAGATGTGATGTGAGGCCTGGGAGTACAAAGGATTATATTGAAAATGTATGGACAAGACAAGAATGGACTTTTAGGACACCAAGTTTGAAGTGGATTTCCGGAGGAATACCTAGGAAGAGGTTAATGAAAATTCCCACCTCCACTTATGCAAAAACTCAGCCTTCTGAAACTATGCCCTAAGAAGTGTGCCACGTCTGCTGATTATCTGTTACCAGAGATAGGAGATGAAAGGCCCGAAGTATACTAAGAAACGGTGAACTTCCCAACCAGGGTTCTGAATCTGAGAAAGCTATGAACTCTTAACCACAGAGAAAACCCAGTTGTGAGTTTTGAAGGACTGAAACCTATCAGAGCTTGAGTCTGGAGTTGGGGGTAACCACTGGTAAACTTTTTCATGCATGAAGGTTCTTTTATTGTTTAATATGTTTTCCCTGTAATGCTTTCACATTAAGACTAAAGAAAGAGCTGTGTGGTAACTTATGATTGCAAGCCATGCACTAGTCATAGCTTCTGGGAAAAAACGCGAAGTGCAGACCCTGTCTTTCTGGGGATAACAGTATAGGTAGGGAACCATGAAGCCTGAAAGAACAGCCAGTCAGGAGAGAGAGAGAGAGAGATGCAGGTCTTCATGCAAGAGAGGTGACAGTTGGGAGCCTGGAATGGATGCCCTTGGTGGACCACGGAGGGGGAATACAGATGCAGATGCCCTGAAACTGTGACAATTAGTATTTGAGTATTACACTGTTACACTTAACTGTTAATTCAAGATCTACAGTAGCCAGAGAAAGTACTCTGTTCTTTTAACAAAACAGATGTAGTAACTTTATGGGTTAAATTTTGGCTCCACTGAAATCAATGGCAAAACTCTCATCAATTTCAGTGTGGACAGATGTCCACCCAATGAGTTTAATCACCATTAGCAGCTGTCACACTCCAATATTTCTTCGATAAACTGTCATACAGGGAACAACTGGAAGACTAGTATGGAGTACTGGATACTGTGTTTGCCAACTACCACAGCTAATAAGCTTTGCCTCTTACTCAAGAAAAAAAAAAAAAAAAAAAGTCATAGCACTAGACCCAGACTTTAGCCAGAAGTTCAATAGGTCAAAATATGTAGCAAACAAAATTCTGATTAGCAGAATTATTACCTACACACAAAACCTTAGTACCCTTAAACACAACTGGTTTCTTAACTATCGAAACTAAAGTTGTATTAGGTTTTATTACTGGATATATTTTCAGTGCAGGATAGGTGTTAGTAGAATCATAGAAGATTAGGGTTGGAAGAGACCTCAGGAGGTCATCTCGTCCAACCCCCTGCTCAAAGCAGGACCAACCCCAACTAAATCAGGACCAACCCCAATTAAATCAAAGAGCTCCAAGTAAAACAGACTTCAAAGAAGCAGACTTTACCAAACTTAGAGAACTGCTAGGTAAGGTCCCATGGGAAAAAGAAGTTCAGGAGAGCTGGTCCCGTGCAGAAGTCAGAGCAGTTTAAGGGCTGCCCTAACTTCCATCTGCTTTTAACAGCCCTCTAAGGACCAACACTCAAGTAAGGATCCCCAGAACACAAAGTGTGCTCTGGCACAAGAGCTGAATTGAGAACAGATAGCATAGAGCTGTTTACAAGACACACGGGGAATGCCCAACTGCCTTTAAGGAAGCTTTCTGGTTCCTTTTTGCTGGTGATCAATGCAAAACAGCTGGAAAGGGAAGAGGGGCAGGGTGTAAAGATCTGGCTCTATATATTTATATTCAAGATTTCCTGTTTATACATGAATTATTACTTACCTCTTGAATAGCAGCCATAACAACATGTTGAACAGACTCTTCTAGGGTCATTATATTTTGTATATGTTCTGTAATGGCGAAAAAGTATTTGCAATAATTTACTTATGACAACATTTACCGTAAAATGGCTTGAAGTGGCATATGTTCTGCCCTTTCCACAAAGCAGACATCAATGTAACAAAGAACATGATAATTCTATGACAAATCATTTCCAAAAAAGTTATTGCTCTTATTAAGAATAGTTTCAGTGATGCTGACATATTAGTAAATATGGAGTGAGGCCCTATATACATAGGCCCAATTCTCCCATACGTTTACTCACATAATTTCAATGGGTTGTATCATACAGAAGTTTGCAAGATTAGATTAAGGACAAAGTTTTCCTTCCGAGGTAGGCATATAGCCAAGAGAAAATTTGGCCCTTTGAACATACTAGGACTAGAATATTACTGCAAAATGTTTTTGACTGCTAACTAAGAAAAAAGAAGACTGACCGACCAGATCTAAAGCTTTACAATACAACTTTTTCCACAAAGGCACCTGTTGTTTTATAGCACAGATAGCTTATGTTATGCATTGCAAAAGCTGTAGTTTCTATTTACACCATTTCACAACACAAAATTAAACTACTATTTAAGACAGAAGGGCTTCATTTAAACTCACAGGAGACCAAAATTCAAACTAAGGCTTTTCATTCCAGCATGAAAGTTGTAAATTTTACAACACATGACATATTAGAACAATTTAACATCTTATTTACTATGAGTACTTCTAAAATTTACAGTATGTACAAAGGAGTGAAAAGCCTTTAAATATCTACATTTCCAAAGTTTTGCCAGTTTACATTTGACCCTACTGTGTCAGCTTTATTTGGTTTGTTTGAGTTTTCAAATTTTTTGGTGGAGAAACACTTGTCACTGAGATAGCACACGAACCGTGGTAGATGAAATGTCATCACTAAATGTTTTAATTCTCAGTGCAAGATGATACCACTTTGCTAAATAATCACTAATGCAAAAGAGACTTTCAATAAAAAAAAATCATTTAATTAATGATCAAAGCGTTTTCCTGCACTGTAATGGGTGCTTATGTGGGCATTAACAAACAAAAAGCAATCATCTTAGACCTTTACAGATAAATAAGAGATACATTTTAAAACCAATAGTTTAAGTTATTCATTTGTAAATTTTATGCTTGGGCACATATTTTGTTATCAATCCAGGATTTTATAAAGTATAAGTAATAAATGTAAAAGTCACTTTCCAGTTCACTTTTAACAAAAAATATTTGACGCCAAGCTAAGAACCTGAATGCAGACACTTTCTAAAGTTATTATTAGTTTTCACAAACTCCAATTTCAAAGAGTTTATGATAATAATATTGTATAACACATTAGCAGAAAGAGGCTAAAACCTACTGTTTGATTCAGGAACAGAAAGTATTTTTTAAATGTGACATCAATTCCATCTTATTCTGTATGTGTGCTACTATTTGCTATTTCCTACAGTAAGGGTTGCCTCAGGAGGTTGTTCCTAGGTATAGCCTCAACAGGTGAAAACAGCATGTACCTTGTTTCTTTTCACAGTTGACTGCACAACCTAAAATAAGCTGCAGTAACCTGCCCAGCTCTGTAGGATCTGAATGTTCAGATATCTGATTTAAGTCAGGAACAAGTTCTTCTGAAATCTGCTGACCTAAAAACTGCAAAATATAAAAGATAAGTTTGGCATTTCAATTATATGCATGATGAAGATTTAGCATCCATATACATATTATTCTATCATGCAAAAAAAATCTGGCCTGGGAAACAGTCTGGACAAAAAAACTGGAAATATTACTGGAGGTAAATATGATCTTTGGAGACAGATGAGGAAAGACCCTAGACACCACTTTGAGTTACTATACACAGAAGAACTACTTAGTCTGTCACCCAGCCTTTTGCTAATGGTAACATACTCAGATAGCAATACTGAATTAAGGAAATAAGACTATGAAGAAAAATAGTAAGAAATTTGAAAAGGCCTAGAAAAACAAAACAGCTAGAGGGATGTATAGCTTTAAAGCAGTATCTCCAGGAAAACCCCCTAAAAAAAAAAAAGCCACGCACCCAAAACACACATACACCACCCATGAAAATGTGCCATACTATATGTTAATACAAAAAGGCCTACACCTAGATTCTACGGTGATGAGTTCCTTAAAATGGATATGCAATAGCAATGCACTAACTGCACAAAATTCAGGGGTTTTATATCTGCTCAGCCCCCTGCACATAAGTATTATATGGTCACTAGTTACATGTTCCTGGAACAGGTGAGCAGTAATACAAAATACTGTTTCTACATTTTACATCAATGGTCTCCAACCTTTTTACACCCAAGATCACTTTTTGAATTTAAGGACAACCCACGATCTACCCTGCCCGCTCCCTGAGGCCCCGTCCCTTCCCCAAAGTCCCATCCCACTCACTCCATTCCCCCCCACCCTCCCCCTCACTCGCTCTCCCACAGCTTCACTCGCTTTCACCAGGTTGGGGCAGGGGGTTGGGGTTCGGGAAGGGATGAGGGCTCTGGGCTGGGGCCGAGAGTTTCACAATGTGGGAGGGGGCTCTAGGCTGAGCCTGGGGCAGAGGGTTGGGATGCAGAAGGGGGTGAGGAGTGCAAGCTCTGGGAGGGAGTTTGGGTGCAGGAGGGGGCTCCAGACTGGGGCAGAGTGTTGGGGTGTAGGAGGGGATTCGGGGTGCTGGCTCTGGGAGGGGGGTCAGGGCTGGGATGCAGGAAGGGGTGGAGGTGCTCGTCCTGG